CTATATTCAACGACCAGCTCGGGAAGTTTCTGAAGAAGTGAGGGCGGGAACCTCGTCTGCCTTTCTGACGCAAGTTTTTTACTATTGATGACCATGTACACAAGAATACCAAACCACATAATCGTCCTGTTGCTACCTTACTTTGAGGTGGGATGCGGTGGACGTGGCCAAACAATTAGATAGATCAAAGAGAAACCCTCCACCGGGATTGCACGTATTAAGAGGCTGTGTTATAGCATGAAGCTGACCCAGGAAACAGAAATAGACAGTTCACGCACACACCCCCGCCTGGAAACTTTTGTCACTCAACTTGACACTTGTTCAATGGGACTTCATCGCTTTGACACTGCATGAATGGTCCATATTAGAGCTGTTCTATTGCCCCCCGCGTGATCTGGGCTGACGAGTCTTCGCGGCTCTGCAACTTACAAGACACGAGCGCAACCTTGGGCGCCCCTGGTCTTCGACTACACATTAAACTACATGAATCGCAGAGAGTAGTATTCCGAGCAAAATGCCTTGGAATGTAGCAACAATGACAGAAAGGATTTACGGCTGTAACGATCTATCCACCGGAAGGGATAAGAGAGCTGAGCATGGCACTCAACGCCAGCTACATCCGACGACGATGACGGTCTTCCTTGTTACGCCATTGTCGTAGAGAAGTCCGGCTGCTTCGTTTTCCCCCTCTCTTCTCTCTCGAATGAAAGGTCACAACGCCCATGTCACCTACTCCACGGGTAGAACGACGATCCCATCCGGAGCGGAGAAATCTGGGCCGGGTATGAAAGACCAGTCCCCAACTTCCAAGTCTCGAGGAATGTTTCTAGCGATATTGCACATGCCGGACCGAGTCGTGCCATTGCGCCATTTTCCCCTCTCACTTTCTCTGTGTATTCTCTTTTTTGGAAGGATTCCAGGCTGAAATCCTACGAGCTTCCTCGTCGTCTGCTCATCAATTGGTAGAATTGGTAGTTTGCCAATTGAGTTTGGCCCGTCCGAGGCACTATTGCTTCTCCTGTTGAAATCTACATACGTCGGCGCTGTATCTGTACCCAGCCCTGAAATATTCGCATTAAGTTCCGATAGGCAAACCTAGGCCGGGGCCGTTGATTGGCGCTTCTAACGTTTTCTTCGTGTAAGAAGCTGCCAAAATCTTCCTTTCGCGAGGTAGGGCAAAAGGCAGCCTCCCCGCTACGCAAGCCATACTCAAAGAGAGAATGGGGTCGGGCGATCGCATGCGGTCTTGGCGAGGGTCTCCCTGTGCATGCTTTCGAGCTAGAAGGGCGCATGTCCAGCAGGTATTGGCACGGATAATGTAGAGCGCAAAGCTTCAGGTTGGCCGCTGAAGGGAATATGATCGGCCCAGGCCCAGTACCTCGATCAGTGCTAGCCGCTCGTATCTCTCCGAAATGATTTCCCCAGAGGATTCGTGCTACGGTAGGCCCGCAGGTTCTCAAGTACTGGCCAGTGCCATTTTGCAGCTAGACCACATCGTAAGATATTTGTGATGAAAGATAACGTTGAATCTGACGCGAGATATCGCGAGCTGTGGAAAACGAGCCTAGGACTATTACAGCGTAGGTAGGATATGGTCGAAAAAATCACCATGACTCGACGTTGAGGATTGAGGGTTGACGGCATTGTTCAGCCTTGGTCCGTCCCACCACCTCAGGGACGAGAGGGAGCCCTTGGAGCCCAGAAAGACGAGACGATAATACCGCCTAAAAGTGCGATGTGTTCGTTCCCTATTGCCTGCCCCCGAGTCTCTCGGCACGAGGCGTCACGCAGCCGCATACCTGTCAGTCGATCGTTCAAATTGGGGACGATTCCAGAAGTCGAGGCGATGCTTCTTTCGGAACGTCAAGGTTTGCGGGCTGGACACCCCATTGATCCCATCTTTGCAAGTTCGTCGGAATCATCCGTTCCGCCTGGACTTGAGGCTTTGGTGGACATGTTCATCCGAAGTTGGAAGAAGTTGGATGAAAGCCGTGATGTGATGAAGCAGGCGCAAGCCTGAGGTGAAATACTGTATGCGTTAGATGAGGATGATGTAATTATGCGAGTTGGCCCAATTGAGTCTCCCGCAGCGGTCGGGTCGCGAACCCCACCGCGGGGTAGTCGACGGTACCAGAGCTTTCCATGTAATTGAATGATATTTTGTTCGACACGTTGCTATACGCCTACATTGAGCGGAAACCCACCAGAAACTGAAGAGGCTCTCTATTGCATTCTAGATAATAACCTCCTACACTAAGACTCGCTTGCAATTGAACAACATGGGTGGCAGAGACGTGGTTGTGACCGGTGCCACTGGTCTCCTCGGAAGACAGGTAGCGCGGGCGTTTGACATGAAGAGTTGGAACGTCAAGGGTACGGGATACTCTCGCGCCGATGGCGTCTCAGTCTTCAAAGTCGACCTCGGAAAAACATCTGACGTCGAAAAGTTTCTTGATGAATCCAAGTAGGGCCCCCTTCATCATGGTCACAGCCAAGACCATACCTTACTGACGCATCATGGTAGGCCTCAGGTAGTCGTGCACTGTATGAACACCAACACCCTCTTCACAAGACAAAGGTTTCAGCACATACTAACACAATAGTATAAACAGGCGCCGCCCAGAGGTTCCCAGATAAGGTAGACAGCGACCCGGACGCCGCCCGCGCCCTCAACGTCGAGGCCACGCGGTCCCTTGCCAAGCTATGCGCCGCCCGCTCAACCTTGCTCATCTACATCTCGACCGACTACGTCTTCTCGGGAAAGCAAGGGGATGCTCCCTACGAGGCCGACGCGGAGACGGGGCCGACGAACCTCTACGGCCAGACCAAGCTGGATGGCGAGCGCGCCGTGCTGGACGAGTACGAGGCTGTCGGCCGCGCAGGGCTGGGCCTCGTCCTCCGCGTGCCTGTGCTGTACGGCAAGGCGGACACGCCGGCGGAGAGCGCGACCAACGTGCTCATGGACACGTTGTGGAAGACGCAGGATGGGGGCGCCAAGGTGAAGATGGATCACTGGGCGATTCGGTACCCGACCAACACGGAGGATATTGGGCGCGTGTGTCACGGTAAGTGCAAGCTTCGTTGAGAGGTAAAAGATTTTATGACGGCTAACGGGACCACAGATATCGCCGACAAGTACATCGGGGCCAAAGACCGTAGCTCGTTCCCCAAGATCCTCCAGTTCTCTAGCGAGGACAAGATGACAAAGTACGAGATTTGCCAAAAGTTTGCGGACATCATGGATCTCTCCATGGACGGCATCATTGCCAACACGGAGGGCAACGACCCGAACGCGAGTGTCCAGCGGCCGTATGACTGTCATCTCAGCACGCGGGCTCTCAAGGACCTGGGTATCGATGTGTCGACGAGTGACTTCATCGGGTGGTGGAGGCGCGAGGTGCACGCTTTCCGCCACTGAATCTGGCTTCATACCGCCTCACTAGGATGAATGTGTGTATCTGGACAACCTCGGTGCATAGATTCCGAGCCGACTAGATTCATAGCGAGAAAAAGGCTGTGATGTGGCATGCAAGGCGAGGGACCTCACGGGACGAGGGCCTCTTTGGATGCCGACATGGTGCCCGTCTCTCGACGTCTTTCTACCGGATGCTATATGGTTTTGAAATCGAAATGATTTAATGCATAAGCAGACATCAATAAGTGGCATATCTGGGTCTAGGCTGTTTGACTTGTCTCATGCGGACATATCTAGCAGTAGACACAAAATGCGAAAGAGAAAAGTAACAAGAATAAAATATATGATCAATTGTAGAACCAGGATCTGGAAGCCCCAGTTCAAGTCGAACCGCATTTGAGATTGGGAGTGAATTCGTTCCTACCACGCCAAGATTCCACGTATCTTGAATCCTTGTGACTGTTGAGACTGGAGGAGGGAAGTCCGACTTGAAGCTCATCGTCAAGGTGCGTATATCGAGTGGTTCTGGAAATGAAGAGAATGAAAAGAGGTAGAGACTCGATGAAGGTTGTGAACTTGAATCGGGCGGGTAAGATGCCTCGAAGAGCGGAGGAATTCTGTCGCTTCATCGCGCTTCATCGCGGACGCTTCCAGGGCATCGTGCGCAATATGACAAACAGCGTGAAGCAATCTCCTAAATCACGAAATTGGCATCTCGCTGAAATTACAATCCAGCTCACATGGGCTCACTGCTCACGCAGGATTCTGCCCAGGCCGAGGTCGCGTCAATCAGATAGGAGAAAGTGTAAACACTGACACGTCAAGAGGGAGTCGGAGTCTGGTCAGGAATGCAGTGCCTGCTCGTTCCTGAACCACAATCCATATTCTCTGGGGTGCAAATTGCATCGAGCTCGACTGGCATTCGGCAAAAGGACATGCGGTGTCGCGCTCTCGGTGTGCTTTGCATGCCTCTGGAGATACATGGACCCCCTTCATCAGCTGACGCGTGATCTGCTGAATAGTGAAGAGGTAAGGTGAGATACCTGAGGTGAATAGAGAAAGGATGAGGCGATTGCCGGGAGAGATGTAAAAAGTCTCCCTTGCCTGCCGTCTTGTAGGACCCCGACTTATGGGAAGGAGAGGTCTTGCCACCATTTCTTTTTTTCACCTTCCTTCTTTCCTCCTTCGCTCTTTGCTCCTGGTTCTGCCTGCTTGCTGCCTGCATCAACGTGCATCGTTTTGCTTGGACGACACAACGTTCAAATTTCTTCATCATCGTTAACTTTCTTTGCTTATTGCTTCGACTCACAAAGTGCTACTATTGTAGCCATCTAATCTAATCAATATTAACTCACATCTTATTTTTACTTTTACCTTTTTCGCGAACCCCCCGTCAAAAATTTGCCTATCCGGGAACCGAGGAGACCGAAAAAAAACAAGTTTGTTCGGGACGGACCACCAGCCCTATCAATATCATCTTTCGTTATCTATCACTTGCAGAGAGATCTGCAGGGTCCTGGGGCAGCACCGCAGCAGCAATCAAAGGAAGGGGGAAATAAGGGCAAAGGCTGCAAGATAACGTTCAAGTGTTCCCTGCTGGGCTGGGGGCGATCAGCTCGGAGGGTTCCAAGGTTTCAGCGGACTGGGCCGCAGCCGCACAACGCCGTCGCCGCTACCATCGACGCCATCGGACGAGGAAATCCGGGGTTCTGATTTCAAGACCCTGCCTAGCATCGCATCACATCGTCTCGCATCGGGCAAACGGTTGAAGGGACGGAATAGCGACGCCGACGAAGGCGACGCTGCCGAGGAAGAGAAGGAGAAACGAGCTCTGGAAACGAAATAACACAATTACTTGACACAAATCGCGCATCCACACCCACCCACACCCACAATGGAAGGGTTTCCGCGTATTAATCGCACCATGTCGGCAGGCCCAGGGCCACCGAAATCACCTGCGCCGCATCCACCCCGGCGAGGCCAGAGCGTCACCGCCGGGAGGCTTACACGGTACAGGAGCGTGCGGGAGCACAAGAGTGTGCTAGACTTTGGACGCAACTGGCGGGACTGGGAGGTGGATATTTTCCAGGACGACGAGACGGTGTCCAATGCAACGACCGAGACGGGCACCGCGACGAGCATTGCGCTGGGTCTAGGCATTGGGATTGCTGTTGATGAAGAGGAGGGAGCTACTGGCGGTGTTGATGATGGTCAGGCAACGGTGTCATCGCCGCATCCTCATGATCAGTATGGGCAGCAACAGCAGCAACAGCAACAACAGCAAACCCCGGCTTCATCGTTGAGGAGGAGGCGCACAGCGCCGTTGCTATCGACGCCAGTGCCGCAGACACCGTCGGGAGCACCGCAGTTGACGATGCAATGGCAATGGCCCGATCTCATGGCCGGTACCGGCATCAGCGACGCCTCGTCTCCGTTTGATTTTGAAAATTCTCCAGTCAGTAGTGGTCGTTGTGCAGCAACAGGAGAAGGAGAAGGCCAAGGAGGAGGGCGTAGTGCGAGTTATTATTGTCGTGGGGGTGGTGGAATTGGCACTGATATTGGCAGTACTGGTGCTGGAGATGGTGCGGTTGGCGGTGGAAAAAGAATGGTGGTCCCAGCCCCTCCCGAATCCCCCGTGCGGTTCAGCTACCCCAATCGACGGCGACCAACCAAGACGGCCCCCAAGGCGGATCTCGACGACAGCTGGAGCCCCTTGCATGGAAGCTCGTCTCCTCCTTTTTTTTCTTCCTCGCCGCCTTCTCTGTCTCCAAAGTCCCCTACCACGACGACTACGGATGCCAGGTCCTCTCCTCCTGCAGGCGGTGGTCGTGCCAGTGGTGTTCTTACTGGTGCAACGACAGACGCATGCGGCCCTTATGGCCCCAGACCCCCAAGCGAACCGGGTTCCCTATTCTCCCTAGCGCCATCCTATTCCGGGTCCACGTCCCCAGCCCCAGGGGTTCCAGGGGTTTCCTCCACTCAGGCCGCCCCTTTGTACGCCTTGGGCCCCTGTCCGCCGGCCCCGTCTGCAGGATCGGTGTTATTACCACCAGCATCAGCGTCAGCTGCTGATGCGTCTGCGTCTACGTCTGCGTCTTCTGCTTCTTGGTCTGCGGCACCGAAACCGAACCTCGTCGGGCTTGTACCACAACCACCAACACCGCTGACGACAGTACCTCCTACACCACCACGACTACCTACAATCCCAGCAGTTCCAGTCGTCCGCGCATTTGCACTTGCGCCTGCATTTGCGCCAGCGCCAGTAGAAGGATCCCAAGGAACGGCACCACTTGAACCAGCTACACCACCGCCTCCAGTACCGCATCACCCTCCTCCTCCCCCTCCACCACCACACTCGCTTTTACACCCAACACAACCATCTCCTCCTGGAATAGGACTGGGACTGCTTCCGTTGCCCATCCCGGTTCAAGGCCAAGCCAAAGTCCAAGCCCAGGCACATCATACCCGAGCACGCGACCTCGTCCCGCCTCCCGGTCCCCATCTGCGCCCTCGTTCGCACAACCCAATCTTGGTTTCTTCCCACTCGTCATGCGCCGACCTGAAGCTCGCTGCCAGGGCTGAACACGCTCGCTCTCAAATTATCACCAAGCTCGCCCTCCAACCCGACTCTAACAACAACACCGAATACACCAGCACCAACAAGGAGGGCCTCATACGCAGCAATAACCCCCACTGGGACCAGCAACTTGCCCGTCAAGAGGAAGATCGACAGCGCCGGCGCCACCAACAACACCAGCAATTGCTCGCCCAGCAGGAACAGCAGGAAGAAGAGCACCGACGTCGCAAGGAACAGGAAGAGGAGGACGCTGCTCGTTGGGCCGAAGAGGTTGCTCGTCTTGAAGCAGAGACCGATCGCATCTTGGCAGACCAAAAGGCAAAGGACCTCGCAAGACTCCAGGCTCAATTGGCTGCCGTACCCGACGCACCAGCCTCCCGTGTCCGGACCCCCATCGTCGACAAGTTCGCCTTCTTCTTGAGAAAGGGTCGCAAGACCGAACCTGCGAACACTCTGACAAAACCTCCCTCTCAATATTTTCAACCCCTCACCCTCGACCACAGGCCCGTCAGTGTCATGGATCCCTCCCGCTTTATACAAGCCGGTGGCGGCGGCATTGTCCCCCAAACAGATGCCCCGACGTCTGCTAGCAATGCCGGAGAGCGCGTCAGTCTTTTTCTCCCTTTAACCATGCATGACCTTGATCTTCATGTTTTTGCTGATACTCTTCTCATAGCGAGTGACTATACGCTGCATGCAGTCGTCAATCAGTCTGCCCGTCACCCCCGATACTACCCCAAGTGAGATTCTGTACTCGGCCGCCAACCTCATGACCCACAACATCAACCCGCAAACCAGTGTCGTGCTCGAGTGCTACTTTGCTTTTGGTCTGGAACGCCGCCTGAGACGTTACGAGCCTGTGGCTCTTGTCATGAACTCTTGGGACCGCGATACGCAGCACTGCCTACTCATCGTACCAGGTGAATCCACGGACAAGAACCCCGACTTGAACCTCGAAGGTGTGCCCCGCACTATCGATCCGCCCTCAGGTCTCATCAACTTCGCGCTGTACCACTCTCAGCGGCCCGGCAAATGGAACAAACGCTACATCACGCTCTTGGAGACTGGACAAATGTTTTCCGCCAAGAAGAAAGATGCCAAACTGTCGGACAAGGATGCCGTCTCGCTCTGCCATCTATCCGACTTCGACCTGTACACGGTTACCGAAAAGGACATGCTGAAGCAGATCAGAGCTCCAAAGAAGAATTGCTTTGCCGTCAAGAGTCAACAGAAATCAACAGTCTTCCAAAATACGGAAAACTTCATCCACTTCTTCGCTACAGATGATGCCAAGCTCGCGGAAGACTTCCAGAAAGTCATTCAAGGATGGCGTAGCTGGTACATTGCAAACAAAATTGTCGATCTGAACAAGAAGAAGTCATCTTCACATAGCAGCAGTGCGAGAAGCGGGACGAAAACGGGCGGCGGCGGCGGACTTACACGAAGCGGCACTTTGCACCGGCCCCGGGCATCCGCCGACGAGACGCCGTATACCATTGGAACTTTCTCGCCGCTCTTGGACATGAACAGTTTCGAGAAACCGATTGACGATTTCGGGAAGGATTTGGACAATAAGCCGACGGCCCGACACGCAGACCACCACTCTACACCCAGACACACCCAGTCTCACAAGGTTGTCTCTCGATCTAGGACCACGCCGAATCTGTCGCAGCCTCACACAAGAAGACTAATTGACCCCTTTGCCAAGGACGAGTTCAAATCCGGCGGTCTGTTGGGCCAAGCTTACGAGGGGCGCAAGCAGCAAGCAGAGAAGGCTGCTCTCACAGCAGACCATCAACAATACGCAGTCGAGAGTCCATTTACTGGGGGGCACTCGCTGCTCGGCCAGTTCCCAGAACACGAAAATAGCGGAATGCCGCAGAGAAGGGGCACGGTGCGTTCGTCTCGCCCCACGGCGGCGGACCCCATGCCTCAGCCGCGGAGTCGATCACGGCCTCCCGCAGCTCGTCCGACCACTTCATCGCGTCCCAAGACATCAGATGGTGGGTCATCTTCAGGGAAACGAGAGATGCCACAACCTCTTGTCGACCTCACGCCCAAGGTGCCCGATTTACCCGCAGCCTGGCGAGACGGCCAAGGCCGCGGTGTACGTGTGCCCACTGGAAAGCCCCTGATCGAGATGGCGACGGGTCTGGAACTACCAGACGGGCACCTAGGACCGCAGCTGCCCACCGTCACCCGCATGGGCACGGCAAAGGCGTATCCTCCCCAGCGCATGGCGTCGCAGTCGGCCGCTTCTAGACCGAGGAGTCGGTCCACAGCAGGCGGTGGTGCTGTACGTCGCGTGGTTTCCAATGAGCAGCAGCCTCCCATGCCCTCCATGCCGAGACGGTCGTCAAGAAGAGACGACGAGGACGTTCCACTCATCAACTTTGTGGAACGCGAGAGGGGTCGCGATACGAGGCCTCGCATGTCGCAGGGCATGTCGCAGGGCCTTGGGCGGAGTGGTACCGTCAGGCACTGAGGAATGCCGAGAGCGGATGGCGGCGGTCCGCTGAAGATTGGAATGGGCCACAAACATTGTAAGACCCCGGGAAAGAAGACGAAAGAAGAGTGAGAGTGCAGTGGACGCGATATAGGCGCATAGGGAGATGTCATTTAACATGTAAGATACCCGGATGTTGACGCGACTAGCATGTCGTCGGTCTGCAACAAAAAGCTTTTGGGGAGGGAACCAAAAAAGACGGCACATTTTGTTTTGCCTAGTCATCTGATCTACCGGACTTGACTACCTTCTTCTAGTCAGGAATAACTATTTTTCCTTTGTCATCTCATAATACGGAACTCTTTTTTTCTTTCTTCATACTTTCTAACGGTTCCATTGTTTGGGTTGGTGTCATCATCGTCAATCAATTGGACTCTGGTATCTATCTTCTTTCTCTATTTTTTTCGGCTCCATGTGTGCCACGTGCAGAAATCCATGATGCCCGCCAAATACAAACACGCGCCCCATCTGCATTAGTAACTATACTTTGTGGTTTGGAAGGTGTTTATTTGGAGCGCTTGTAGATCTTGGCCAAGAAGATTTCAAAGATGCCCTTCTTGAGACCCTCGCTCTCGTCAATGTTGTTAATCATGTCCTTGATCTCGCCCGCGCGCTTCTCCTCGAACTCCTCGAAGCGGCGCTTGAGCTCCATGTCGTCAAAGAGCTCCTTGATGATGGCCTCCTTGGCCTTGTCCTTTTGGCCGTAGTTGTCCTCGAGGATCTTGCGCTGCTCGGGGGTGGCGATGGCGAGGGCCTGGTTGACAAGCCAGCTGCACTTGTTGTCCATGATGTCGGTGCCGATCTTGCCAATGTGCTCGGGGAGGCCGAAATTGTCGAGGTAGTCGTCCTGGATTTGGAAGTACTCGCCAAGGGGGATGAGGATGTCCTCGGCCTGCTTGAGGTTCTTGGGGGTGGCGATGTTGAGGCAGTGGAGGGCGAGGGCGACGGGGAGGTAGAAGGAGTAGTAGGCCGTCTTGTAGACGACGATGAAGCGGTACTTTTCCATGCTGAAGTTGTCGAGGTTGACCTTTTCCTCGGGGGCGGTGAGGAGGTCGCAGAGCTGGCCGAGCTCGGTCTGGAAGGTGACCTCGTGGAAGAGCTCGAGGAGGTCGACGTAGGAGGCGTGCTCACGGAAGAACTTCTTGAGGAGGGTGTAGATTGCGGCCTCGAGCATGAAGGCATCGTTGATGGCGACCATGCCGACGCCCTCGTGGCGGTACCAGCAGGGCTTGCCGCGGCGGGTGATGCTGCTGTCCATGATGTCGTCCGAGACGAGGAAGAAGGCCTGGAGGAGCTCCGTCATCCAGCCGAGGGTGGCGGCCTGGAAGTACTCTTCCTCAGAGAGGGGCTTGTCGAGGAGGAGGGAGACAGAGTCGGGAACTGACATGCCGCGGTTGCATTTCCCGCCGAGGGTGTTGATTTCGAGACTCTGTTTGGCGCAAAAAAAGGAAAGCTGTTAATATTTGGGTGTTCATTTCCTACAGTTTTCCCCCATTTATTCCATTGGGAATGAGGAGGTCGCCGCATATGCGCTCACACGCATAGCCTCATACCAAATCACTTTGATAGTAGAGGTGTCGAGGGGTCAGTGTGGCTAAATGCTTGCCTTCTTGTACCATGCCAGCTCCTCCTTAGGAAGCTTGTACTTTTGCGCATGCTCGAGGAGGACCTCCTCGAGCTTGGGGAAGACCGACTCGAACTCGGCGAGGGTAGTCTTCTTGGCCATCTTGTTCTATTTTTCGGTGTGGTCTGAGGCCGGCTCGGCGGGGTGGCTGGATTGAATTAGGGGGTAGGCGGTTGCAACGGTCTTTAGGAGGAGGCGTTCGAGGTTAGCGACGAGAGCGAAAACGGAGTGGAGGTATCGTGGAGGAGAGAGGAGGGAGGGAGGGCAAGGAAGAAGCAAGGAGACAGAGGTGGACGAACAATGGCAGCGCGAGAGGGAGGAAGAGGGAGACAAGAGGTGTTGGTTGGGAAATTTACTTACTAGGCAAGTTTGCGATAGCAATCCGAAATTAATGCGCCCGCATCAAATTAGAGCCAACTCGTACAAGATGAGAAAGAAAGTGTACCCCTCATCCGATCTTCAGTTGCTATTTTGGCAGGCGGTGGGGGGGCGATTTCCCAGACGGTCCCTGATGTTGCCGGGATAAGTGGGGTTTCGGGATGACAGGCGACCCACGACATCCAATTGACTTCCGCCCCCAGCACCATGGCGGGTCCCAATTACCTAAGCTCACCAAAGTTTACTGGATTGGCTGCCACTGCCGCTGCGTTGCTCACCGTGGCAGTCAGGTACACACGTAGGTCACTTTAGCGTCGTCGCGCCCGTCGCGTGGAGGGAATCCTTGGGTGGACCGCTTCCTTTTCTGCCGTTAAGCTTTACTACGTCAGGACAAGGAAACACAACACTCGCATCGCCAATTCCAGCAACCCTGCATCTCTGTATCTCGTCTCGCAGCCCTAAATTTGCGCCTTGAAGCTGGAGACAGTGAACTCTAGAAGGGGCGACTCCGTATCCTAGCTAGAGGTGCCCAAATAGACGTTCCTTCGTTCCACTCTGCGGATTGAGAACACACGCGACAGGACAGCCCAGCTATTGCCTCTCTGGCCGAGGATGCGCAGAGATGTCACTCAACGAGAATGAGCTGTCGCAGCTCCGCGAGTCTCTGCAGGATGCCGTCGTCAAGTGCTCCGAGCGGTGTCTATACTCCTCTGCGAAATGGCAAGCTCCTCCAGGACCCCTTGCGAAAGAGACTCCACGGCTGACCTCGATCCCAGGGCTGCAGAGCTTCTCAACGCCATACCCGAGCCTTCGAACGACGCCGACCCCGCCGATACTGGTGCCCAGTACATCCCGACGGTCTTCACCGTGAACGCCGACCCCGAGGAAGCCCTCCTTGAAGCCAAAGAGATTAACAAATACCTGCTCGCCAAGACCCTTTTCGACTCAAGGGAGTTTGACCGCTGCGCCGCCGTCTTCCTACCCGATTCTGTACTATCCGGTGTTCTGAGCTCCAACGCAGATGGACCGTCGGGGGCGTCCAAAGGGAAGTCAAAGTCAAAGACGAGGGGGGACGTCGAGACGACGAGGGCAGCCGGCGGCAGCAGCACCGAGCTGCCCCGGCTCAGTCAGAAGAGCTTGTTCCTCGCCCTGTACGCAAAGTTCATGTCTGGGGAGAAGCGCAAAGACGAGGATTCGGAGATGGTCATGGGACCCCAGGACCTGGGCAACATCGTCAATAAGCAGTTGAATGCCGTCAGCCGGTTCCTCAGCAACTGGTTCGACGAGCGGACGACGGATGACGGGGATATCCTCGGCAGCCAGGGTTGGCTGGAGTACCTGTGAGTTGGCGGCATATCCTCCTTTCCTCTCATTTCCTCGCGTACAGCTGCTGACCGTGGATAAGATACGGCATGGTTCTCGCAAAGGAGAAGAACGAGGACAAGGCGATGGACTACTTTGTGCGAAGTGTCCACCTATACCCTATGAACTGGGGCTGCTGGCTGGAAATGACCCAACTCATCTCCCGAATAGACGATGTGAGTCTTTGTTGCTGTCAAAGTGCCCTAGTGGCCAGATGACGCTGACGAATGCACAGTTGAGTCGGATTGCCGAGCACCTCCCGCAAAATATCCTCTCTTTCATCTGGCATCTCTACACCTCGCTTGAGCTTTACCAGGCTACACCCGAACTCGCCAACTCATTGGACTCACTACTCGGAATCTTCCCAAATTCATCCTTCCTTCTCACTTGCAACGCCATGCTGTCATATCATTCGAAAGACCTTGTTGCCGCTGAACAACATTTTAGTCGATTACTGTCACTCCACCCCCACCGACTAGAGTCACTAGATCACTACTCCAACATCCTCTACGTCATGAACCTGAGGCCAAAGCTTGCGTTCCTCGCGCATCTCTGCTCGAGCATCGACAAGTTCCGGCCAGAGTCTTGCGTGGTGGTGGGCAACTACTACTCACTGTTATCCATGCATGAAAAGGCAGTGCAGTATTTCCGCCGAGCTTTGACTCTCGACCGAACATGCCTGTCAGCATGGACACTCATGGGTCACGAGTACGTGGAGCTGAAGAATACTCACGCCGCAATCGAATCGTATCGACGCGCCGTTGATGTCAATCGCCGGGACTACCGAGCTTGGTACGGCCTTGGCCAGACGTACGAAATGTTGGAAATGCACACCTACAGTCTATGGTACTACAAGAAGGCAGCTGGGCTGAGGCCCTGGGATGGAAAGATGTGGCTTGCCGTTGGATCGTGTCTGCAGAAGATGGGCCGTGACCAGGATGGTATCAAGGCGTTGAAGAGAGCTTTGCTGGCAGACGCCTACTACGACGTGGGAAGTAGCTTTGGAAGCGGAGGGGACTTGCTCAATGGCCGAGGCGCGACGGGTCACTTGGACCCGGAGCTGCTCTTCCAGATTGCAAGCATGTACGACCAGCTCGGCGAAGAGGAGGAATCAAAAGCCTACATGGAACTTTGTCTCGCTCAAGAGGGCGGGGAAGCAGCGGACAATGTCTTGAATGATTCGATCGCCATACACAATGACTCACCAGGCGCGTCAGATGACGAGGGTAACGGTGATGGCCGCAAGGAGGCCGGGAACGAGGGAACTGGTGTTACGGCATCGACGAGCAAGGCGCGAATGTGGCTCGCGAAGCACGCCATGCGGACTGCGGACTACAAGACGGCCAATCGACTGGGGACTGAATTGACGCAAGATGGCTTCGAGGTCGAGGAGGCCAAGGCTTTGGTGAGAGAGGCCAGGGTGCGCATTAGGAATGCGGAAATGGGCATCAGTCCCTGAGTCCGGCACGAGTAAAGGCGGCGCCGTGAATCGTCTTGGTTCCGAGGAACTATGCATACAACAAGCGGGCAGCACGCCGCGAGGAGGGGCGGCTGGCTAATATTGTCTAGTACGTCAGACGTCGCATGAGAGGTAGTTGAAGCCGCATATTTATGTCTACCAGGCGCTCAAGGACAGATGAGGCGAAGAAAAAGGGAGTGCTGAGGGACTCGGCGTATGATGATTGTTCAAGTATCCGGGCGTAAAATAATGAGATACCACATGGCCTCGGGAAACCTGGGACGTTGCAACTCTTCGAGTGTCGAGAATCCCACCGGGGACGTATGAACTAAGGGAAGGCTATTTCCATGTATGTAAGTGAAAGCAAGGCAGGTAGGTTTATATTACCTCGCGCAATCGCGGAACCAAGTCCGGCTCCGGCGCTTGCCCCGCCTTCACGTTTTCCCCTCCGCACCTTATACAGACCTCGCGACCTCCAGATAGCCTCAAGATTGGGCTCCAAAACCCCCTACCCACGCAACCAATGACATTTCATGAAAGCCACGCATAGGATCTCAGGCCACCGTATCAGAAAGTTGAACGAGGCAAGCGGGAGGTAGAGATACAAGAGCAAATGCTCGAGAAAGACAGCGGGCGGCGGGGGAGGTCGAGTTGGTGTGAAAGCCGGAATACGAGAACACCCACCACCCCCGCCAGCCCAACTTGCCTTTAAACCCCTACCCACCCACGATCACAATCACGCCAAACCGCCAAAACGCCCGCTTTCGTACCTAGACGATTGGTGTAAGCCTCTTCCTCCCGCGAACTACGAACCACGTGCTTGGCTCGTTTTTGCTGGGGGTGGTGCGGAATTAGAAGAGCTTGCATGAGCGGGGGGAGGAAAGACCACTGGATTATTCATCACCCCCCATTCCGCCCATCGTCATCACAGAACACAGAGCTGCGGGCGCTATCTTTTTATGCTTCTCTATGGCGCAGCAGAGATTCTGCCACGAGGCGCGGGTCCCTCGCTTGCTGGAGAAGCTTCTTTGTTGTGCGGGTGTATGGTTCGCGGCCTGCTTTTGGTCGAGTGTAGTTCAATAGGTACGTAGGTCATGGTGTGAGGGTGCTGTGTATGCAGTCAGCTGCGAGAGGGTTTTTCAATTATTGATTCTTGGCGGACATGAAGACTGCATTGTTCACTGCAGTGGCTCTTATCATGTCTTTATCGACCTATCATCTATTGAGGGGGAAAGGTCGAACTTTGAGGTCTGCTTTCTTGTAGGGATTGTTTCTTGGCGAGAAGCTCGCATATCGAGCGGTCTCGTGTCTTTGAACTATGATTATCATTATTTTCGTAAGGACTGTATGTAACCCAATATGGCAAAACACTCCCTGATACTCCCCACAGATGATTGTCGTTGTATCCTAAACCTCCAAAGTTGCCATAGGGTATCGTCAAGAAAAGCAAAGCTGATTATCCGGTGTATTCACCTCTTCCAACTTTTGCCGGCCGTTAATGAAGGTGATGAAAGTTAAGCACCAATTCGTCAGACGTACTCACTCCCCAGTTCCATTAAATCGAATCAAATCAGGAGAGCGAATAGGACAGCAACCAAAGCCGCGCCGGCACCCGCCTCAACCATCCCAGCCGCGTTCGCGGGAACCGTGACGGGCCTAGTGGTCGTCGGTCCGACGGGCGTATTGGTGGGGAGGTTGGTGACGGGAGTGACGGGGGTAACGGGGGTCGTGCTGGCGATGATGGTCTCGGCGGGCGGCGTGATCACCACAACGACGGTCGAGGTGCTGTTGGGGTGGTGGTGATACTCGCTCGTGGCTTTGGGCGGCTTGGGTGTCTGCTCCGAGTGAGTCGGGTGTTCCGTAGGCTTGGGAGGCTTGGGGGTGTGCTCTATCACGGTGGTGTTGTGGTAGGTCGGCTTGGGAGGCGGGGTGTGCTTGGTGGTCTTGATCGTCTTGATCGTCGTGCTGGTGATCTCTGGCGGGCAAGACGTGGTATTGACGACGGGTGGCGGGTAAATCGTCTTGGTCGTGGTGTATGGCGGGGGTTGTCTGGTGGTAATAGTGCAAGGGCAGTCTGTTCTCCAAGTCAGTACTGCGATATATCCAAAGTCGATTCAGTCTTGTCAACTTACTCGTGATGGTAAGTGTCGTTGCCGTGGTCGCCGTGTAAGTCACGTTGTGGTGAACAAAGGTAGTGGGCGACTTGATTCATGTCAGCTTCGCATTCTGGTGTCTTGCATGAAGTCTTTGCTTTCGAGGGAACTTACAGGACAGTATGTCTCGTAGGCCGTGGTCACCACAGTCGTGTAAGCGGTGCTGATATCAGTCCCCCAAGCCTGCGCAAAGGCTACGAGTCCCGCTACAGACAACAGCTGGATGTATTTCATGGTAGATTGGAAGCGAGTGTATCTGATTCAAACGAAGGTGTTTCTGCCAAAGGCACGCTGCAAGTTCAGCAAAGTAGATAGGCGGATGTGTGAGATTTAAATGATGGTATTCAGAACGATATAATACAGCCAAGCCAGGCGATCGCTCCCGTTATGTATCGCGGGGGCGGGGTCGTTTCTCGTGAATAGATTCATCGTGCAGAAAAATGCTTTGGAACCGATGCTTACACGGCGTGGGATGTTTGCCTCGTCGTAAAAATGATGTTGCCGGGCGTCGCCGCCCTTGCTCAGTCGGGCGTATCGTTGCCCGCCTTCCAACCCCGAATTCGGTCCTTTGCGTCTTGATACTGATGGGCAGCTGGTGCTGATGACTGTACGCACCTTGTAGGTGGCGCGCATCGCCGTGCCAGATGTGGCCATGAGGCAGGAATGTGACTCGGTCCCGGCGGGGTGAACGACGAAGATACGAGAAAGTCCTGCCCTGTCATGCTTAGTCGGGAATGGCGCCATCGTTTGGTTGGTAGAACAGCAGAGATGGTTTGAGGGTTTGGTTCTCGAGCCTATCTTCCTATTGGGCCGGTCACTTTATTGGAATCGTTTTGGGCAAGTGATTATGCCATGGTAGGGGTCTAGCGGTGACAGTTCGTGTCATCAACCACAAATGCCTCCAGTTTTGGGTACGCATCGTGAGAACCCGGCTGGAAATGTCTCCGGGGTGACAGATTCGACGCCAGAAGCTAAGCATCTATCAAAGAAAGGTACAGAATATGAGTCTTTACAGAAGAACGTTGCCTCGTGTTCGCCTCTGTAGCCTGGCCACAAAAACCATGCTGCCCACCAAGATTGCCAATAATGCATTCATCTTCGGCCAACGGGTTCGGCTGGTTCAGTGAATCGCCTCGTAATCTGACTGAGGCCAATTGAACAGATGAGAACGCCGCAGCAGGTGAGGCTGTGCTTGACGCTTGAGAATGTAAGTGAATCTCTAAACAGACGAGCGGACTGGCACGGCGAAGACGAGAAAAAGAAGACCATCACTAGCGCTTGCATAGTTGGCTTTCTGAGCAGTCCAGCAGATGGCTAGCACTTGTAGCTGACTTCTAAGAGGAGTTCTCGGGATGCTCCTTCAGTGCGAGCCTGCCTCGAGGCATATCTCGAATATACTGGTGTATCTAAATGAGCCTTGGTTGAGGTTAGACAGAATGGCCGACTTGCAGTCAGATCCACACAGTTCTGCGTGAAGGAAGAGAAAGGAGACTGATGATAAGAAATGCAAGAGAGATGGATGCGCAAGTATCATAGTCAGCATAACGCAGCTTCCCTGTCCTCTTGAGGCAGGGCCCGTTGCCGCTGTAGCTATAAAAGCAAACCCACTTGGCATGCAGATGATCACATCGTGTAAATGATGGTGTTTGTATGTCGATCAGTCTCGCGCGCCGGTCTCTGGATGAGTAGAGTAAAGCATCTATATCAGCCAAAAACCGGTCCTCACAACGACAGCCGGGTAAATTCAAGCTTCAGGTTGGGTGGAATCGGTGTCCGCAAGACGCGCCTCAACAGATCCAAGCGATAAGGCAGCTATCAGAGCAGCAGCAGACGAACCTGGTACTCGCCAGTTCCATAGTGAGAGTGCCAATATTCCTGCAGACTTGGTTGAGTTGAGAGATGGCCACCTGAAGCAGGGAAGTGCCCCTCCACCAAACAGTTACAATCTTGCGGGGAGTCCTGCTGTCAAGGTCGGCCTCTGTCACGTTCTCGCTACAAGGTTCAGGGTTCATGATGTTAACGGTCGTCAGCGCCAAGTTTCTTTTTTGCAAGTAGAGAACAGTTTCGGGTTTAACGGAATGGCACCGGACAGACCTCGGTCGCGAAGTTCTTCGCCGTTGCGACACCGGTGACGCGCGCGGTGGACAGGCGGGTGGGCAAGACATCCACAACCAAGAAGACCTGGCGTGAAAGGTTTTCTTCCCCGGCAGTCCGTGTGGTTGGAGTGAAGTCTGCGACCACTTCTAGGTATCCGTAGATGGCAAACTGGGATCGGTTGTGGGAATAGCCTGCGGGGGAAGGGGAGCTTTAGAACCAACATAGGGCAGAGGGCGGGGGATTTGATGGGCACAATGAGGTCACAGCTCTTCCCCTGCCTCGCCTTCGTAATGATAAAGAGCTTTTCGGCAAGGTCTCGCGACACTGAATCCGCTTCCAAGGCTGGCCAGATACCTAGATGGTGATGCTGCTTGGGGGCTGCTGGAACAATCCGAGGCCAGAAATCCAGATTGCGGTGTTCCACCGACAGAACTGCAACGGGGATCCGGTGGAGAAGGATTCTGGCGATGATGGTGTGAGGGAATTCCGACATCAGATGTCCAAGGCCAGGAAGCCAGCTAGGAACTGGCTGAGAGATCAGTTGGCAAGCCAAGGCGCAAACGGAAGGCAAAGCAAGGTGAAGAGTCTGAAGAGACTGGAGAACTAACTGGGATGCGTCAGAGTGAGAGGTACCTTGCTGTTGGAGACGAAGGTTCCAACTTCCGTCTCGGTGCCGTGGTACTTTGGCGTAACCGAGATCCGTCCCATCGACGGTTCCTGCATTGGACAGAACTTTGCTGGAAATGGGCCCGCCGGAGCCCCGTTCTCGAACGGACCTGCCTTCCGTTTAGGGTTGGCTTGGCATCTGGACGGTGGGTGCAGGGAGATACGTACCGATTACCAAGCATGGGGCTTGCGCTCCGGTTTGCACGAACTGCAGCCCAAGGCTCGATTACCTTATGGTACAGGTGACAGTATTCAGTCGTGGCAGTCGAGACTGGGGCAGTTTCCATTGTTGGCAGCCGCAACTTCACGAGCCGTTGCTACAGCCTGCAGGCTCTTCATCACAAGTACGTACTGTGCAGTATTCCTTCCGCGGTGCCTGCCCTACCTAGGTGCGAGCTGTCCGGAAAGTGAGCGATGATCAGTGGAACCGGCTGCGGTCGAGAACGGCCCCGTCCCAATGATCATCTCAACGGGCCGCCAAGGATATGCGACATGCCAATGCAACCATTACAGACGAGCCCAGACAATAGGAACAATGGGCAGCGGCAACGAGCAGCAAAAGCTTGCTTCCTCGTTGCTTACCACTCGGCCATGGTATCCCAGGAGCAAGCACGTGTGTCCGTTACTGCCCGAGACCAAGTCGGGGAAAGATGCTCCAGTGGATAGACAACACAGACGAGCAACCGATCTGACGGTAAAGAGAGATTTGCAGTACATCTCTCACCTTAACCTACACCTTAGATATCACCTTAATCTGCCTCCTTGCTATACTACCTTGTAGTCCCCAGCCTTATACTCTGTAAGCTATGGGCAATTATTCAGTCCAATTATTCAATATTGGCTGTTATGAATTGGCAATTTCTTCATACTCTCTTTCTCTTTCTCGTGCCTCCAGGTATCGTGTACCTCGGTACTATTAGTCAACAAGGTCCATGGCTGAGTGGCTAACTCGGCGATACTTGAGTCGTCAACTGCAGTCGCAAGTCGCAACATGTTGGTGGCGTTGGGCCTACGCAGTAGGCTGCGTTGCCCTGCAGGCCTGAGGCACTATGGATGACTCAGGCTGAGGCAGAGACCAATTATCGGAAAGAAACTTTTGAAAAAATAATCAGAAAGTTCCATTTGATTGAACCTGATAGTTCAGGCCATCGAAATATGCAGGCACTGACAGCATGTGCGCGGCACTGCGTGAATAAACTTGTTCATGGGCAGGTGAGGAGCGCCGAGAGAGGAGGGGGCAGACCGCAGACGTCGGGGCAGTGTCCGGGGGCCTCCGCTTGGTACCGGGAACTGCCCACATGTCGAGATATTGTTAGTAACAGAGGCGAAGTTGTCGTATTTCATCTATCACTCCGACGACCTTCCCTTAGTCCCCAGTACGGCCTCATTTACAGTGCACGGGACACCACACACTCGGGCTGTGATCGACAGGTACAACCCACTTTCCTTCCCTCTTCGGCCACGCTCCATCACACCCTCCTTGCGGTCTTACCCTGACATCTTGTTCCTGGTGCCAACTTCACAAGTTCACACCAGCGGTCCAGGTCGACAACCTTGGTCTGAACCTTGCTCCCCGATTCGCTCACAGAGCTCAGAGCCTCCAGTCTGGCCGTTTCTTCCTTGAAGTTTCTTCCCCCCTCTTCCCCTCCTGGATACTCTCGGATGTACCTCGCCAAGCCCTTCTGGCCAGCAACGATTCCTCGCCGATGGGGTCTGCCAGGGCACAGAGAGGCATTTTCCGGCGTCGTGGCATCGCCTCCGTCACAGGAGTCTGAAGGATTGCCAACCGAGATGGTTGTCGTCCAACGACTGATGCCGTCGTGTTTTCTTTTTCCTTGCTGACTGAGCCTTGACCTCTGTGCTGTCTGCTCCAGTGAGCGCTCTGGTCTCCCATCTCCGGCTACGTCTGCGTTGCCAGCGAGGCCGTCATCTCATCTTCACAAACGTTGGCTCAAGTCGTTGCTGTCGTCTGGTTTTTTGGTCCATCACCTGCATTTCATCACATTGATCGGCCGTTCCTGTCACTCTCTAGTACAGATGAACCGGTGCAGCGGGAGCTGAAGCCACGCGCTGCCGTCTCGGCGTTCACCCAAATGGCATAGCCAGCACGGCTCTCCCGCGCACTCCCTCCCAACTTCCGTCCGGCTGCGTAACCCGGCGTCCCATGACAGGGGGGGTTCACTCGGTACTGGCCGGCACATCTTACTCAGTCTTCTCACCAGTCCGTGGCTCGATCAGGGGCCAGAGCTTTAGGGCCAGGGGGGAAGGGGGAAGAGGGGGCTGCTCCGAGTATGTACCTACTCAAGAGTCGACACCTCAATGAGTCCAAGGAAAGCCCCCGTTATGGGCCGAAATGGCCTTGACGGGCTACGAATCATGAGCCGCGGCGCTAATTTGTGTGCTGGAGCGCCGGGTTGCCTCGAATCGCGCGTTTCTACCACTTGTTCTCTCCAACCTGTCAGGGTACGCCACGCGGAGAGGTATCCTAGTGTCAGGTACCAGACACAATCAGCAGCCAACCGGCCAATAACACTCTTCAACAGACTTTTGGAAAGCTGACGCACATGCAGGATAGGAAAAAACAAAAACCGCACCAAGGGCTGACGTCCGCGGTTCCTACTGCCAGCACGCACTCGCAGCCTGCAGACGTCGGTGTACCGAAATACATACGCCTTGTCCCTCGTCACCCTGGCACGCCTGGCCCCCGAAATCCCTCGACAGCCTACTCTGCTGCCCAGTCCGTGGGTGTTTCTTTGGCGCCAGGTACCCGCTCACTGCCGCATCGATTCCGTGCTCCTGGCGCACAGCCAACTCCCGACGGAGGGCGCCCTGACGCTAGAAACGAAAAGGAACTCTAGACACAGCCTGGAACTCCAGAAATAGGCGCAAACACTGGAAATAAGTCTGACAGGACGAAGATCTATTAGAGATGTTCCTGAAAACAATCTTGGGTGGGCTTCCCCTGTTCCAGCTCCAGACGATCCATGAACCACTCGTCTACTACAGTCTATGTCGAGTATACTGCGCAGGTCCAGTACACTATTACTCCATGACACCGTTGTGTTCAAACCTTGTCTAGTGCCCTCGAGCCGAGTAGGATGGCAGACGTCCTGGTACCTATGCGACACCGTGCTGGTCCAGACCGAAAACTCTGAGCTTGGTGAGGCCATTAATTCCACAGACACGTCCAATCATGGTTGACAAGTTACAACGACTTGTACAAGTTACAATCATGGCGCCCGAGTATCCTAGCCCACTCTCCGATGGAGGCTACTCCATGTAACTCTGGGAAACACCCTCGGGCTGAAGTACCCACCGCGGTACTCAAACGTTCCCACCCGTGGACGTCCTTGTTGACTCCTTGACGCCTCCGGCTCCGCTCCCCACTGCCATCTCATGAGCAAGTCCTTTTCAGGCTTTTCTGCCACATCCTTCTGACATGTGTATAAGTATGGTCCGGTTCCCACGAGGCCTTCCATTTCCCCGGTTTTGATTCTCCATCCCGCATCACTATCCTTTCTGTGGCCGAGCCTCACACTTTGTCTTTTCAGACAGCAGCATTCCTTTCACACTCACGAAGCTTTTCACTCCTTTGAAAGCTCTCATCCACTCAGCGGCCCCGGTCCGTTCAGAATCAAACTCACAAACCAAGCTCGAGTCCATCACCACAACACCCATCCAGGGCATCTCAGTTCTCAAGATTAAGCTAGACGCTTATCCTAGAACCATCTTCAACCCATCTTGAACCTGTATAACCGTTTTTGACAACGTTTACGGGACTCTTTCAAACAACTCACATTCAACTCACTGAACCACGCTCCGGCACTTACACACACTCTCACAAACAAATCCCCTTTCCACAACTCAAAATGCAGTTCAACCTTCTCACCCTCCTCGGCTCGGCCGCTCTCGTTGCCGCCAACACCGTCACCTTCAAGTCTCTGGACGACGTTTCCCGCACCGTCCACTTCACCCCCAACTCCGGTCTCGCCTCTGTTGACTCCGTCGAGGTCCCCGCCGGCGGCGAGGTCAAGGTCAACATCCCCACCTCCTGGATTGGCAACTGGTACTCCGTCTCTGAGGGTTCCGAGAACGTCGCCGGTATGCTCGGCGAGGTTGCCTTCAACGGCTGGAACGGCCTGACCTACTTTGATGTCTCCGCCATTGTCAACCCCAACGACCACAACGGTGTCAAGAAGATGTGGCCGGCCAGCGGCGATGAGCCCATCTCCGGCTGCGACTGGTGGCCTTGCAACAACGCCTACTACCTCCCTGACGATGTCCAGACCAAGGTCACCTCCGAGACCGACCTCATCTGCACCCTGGGCAACAACGGCGTCACCTCTCGCCGCGACATTGACGACCACCACGAGTCCCCCAACTACAAGCGTGATTTTGTCATCAGCAACTAAGCTTTCTCTTCGGGAACACAAAAACCGATCTTTGCCTTCCTTTCTTGGCTACGTTTAGAAGAAGAGGAGTTTTTGCCGCGGTGTCGATGAATATCCAACGGCTAACCGCGCGCGCTCGCGCTGTGCGCTTACGACTTTATGACCCCTAACAATGACAACGGACTCTTCTTTTATAGAAGACCTCCAACATCATCTGTTATTTTCACTTGCAAAAAAAAGAGATACCCCATCACAAGAAGCGCGGCTACGCGTGTGGGCTTAGCGGGGGATCAGGGGAGGTCAAGTTTTTTGGGATATAGAGTCTTTTTTTTTTTTTTTTGGAAACTTTTTCAACCCGAGGGCGTTCGGTCAAACAGAGAACGGAGCAATTGGAGCAATCTAGGCGTTTCCCCTCTATCCGCCCACGCGAGAGAGACTATCTCGGCTTCGACATTTCATGCTTCTGTGGAAGACGAGGTCTCGTGGCCAGGTCTCGTTCTTGTCCGGCTTCACTTACACGGCTTTTTGGGGGTAACCATCCCTTACCAGTTGTGGAGGCCAACAAAACCATTCTAGTCGCTCCTTCAGACACACGTTTAGGAACCCTTTTTTGTTTGTTGTAAAACCAACAACAACAGTTTCTTGTATTTACTAGGGCAGAAGAGTTCCGCCAGAAAGAAAAACTTATCAAAAACGTTTGAGCGTCAAGTAAAGACATAAACATCTGTTGCTGTTACCAACCGTGCCAACTTTTGCCAACCTAATTACCTAGTTGCTGTTTTTTTGTCAGTTGCCCGGTTGGAGACCCCCAGTCTGCGCCCCCGGCCCCCGGGCCCTCCTCCGTGTTCATTATGAGCTGAAATGAAGGGGTGCTAGTTCTAGCCGGGGTCCGCGCTGGGATGGCATGTCTGTTCACGAGTAGCAAGTCTGTGCCATGGGACAACTTGTTTTTATTCCCTTTCCTAAAGAAAAACACAACCCCCTTAGGAAACAGGATGCACTGTGCACGAAGTAAATCTGAGCCATTTCAGACTCCTCCTCGAATGGAACCTGGAGTAGTTTGCTACGGGGGAGAGGGATCGAGATACAAAACTCCGTACAGTAATAATAGGGAATAGGTTGGTTGGTTGGTGAGGGGAAAAAAAAAAAAGCAAAGCAACATGCAAGTTTTTCCAACGTCCAGACCCGAGACATTACCACTCCCTTGAAGGAATACAACATCCGTACGCCCCCGCCCAACATGTGCATTTCGGCACGGAGTTTGCTTCTTTGCTTTTTTCCTGGCTGCTGTTTCTTGTTTCCGTCCTGTGTCTTGGGATGAACCCAAACAGGTAGAAAACGGCTGGTGGCCCCACGGGCCACCGGCACCCCCAAGTTTCTCGACGGGCGCTGGCGCGCGCGCCCACACACAGCCCCTGGAGCTAAAAGCTGCGTTTCAAGACACGCGCAACGTCGCACCACTCAGTACCTCTATTTCGTGACCCTCACATCCTGGTTTCAAGGCGCGGGGGGGGGGGGTCAGGAAGAAACGTACATACTGGCACTTGGCAGTGTTCAGTGGTGAGGATGGAGGTAAAGCGAGACGACGTGGCATAGGGAGGAGGTTTGTTGGTCGTGTTTGGAAACAAAAACAACTACGAAGTACCGTACGATTCGCTCAACTCACTCGAACGGGGCTGAATAGCCCCCAAAAGGCAACGTCAGCACAGCTGCCAAAGCCACCTTTGATATTCGTCATCCGACAAACCCACTCGTTGATCAACTTCCGATACAAGACCTCCCCAAATTAGAACCAGAGACCAGAAGAGAAAAATTGAAAAAGGGGACGTATTCCCCTTTCGGCTGTATGAAGCCGTGACTCGTGAGGGAAAGACGCAGACACAGTCAACCCTTTTCTAAACGTGAGGGTCTGACTTCTTGAGAGGGGGTTCTGATTTCCTTCTCCTGCCATGTTCTTCGGCCTTGGCGGTGCAAGACCTGGATAGCTAGGAAACTATTGTCTACCACGGTGGGCGAAAAGCTAGAGGCTACAGTTTCTGGGTGACTACTATGAACAGGCAGAAAGGGGTACTCTACTCGAGTTTTACGACTACAAGGTTGCTCAAAACCACTTTTGAGGGCGGGCGTAATACTTAGTTTTGAGACGAAGGCATATCTAAGCGGCTGATCGGTTCCATTTTCCATAAAGTCTCAGTAGAAGCCCTCTGCCCCCCTCTCCCACGCTTGAATAGATCGCATTACAGTCACTATACTTACTCCTGCGACGACGCGCAAGCAGTTCTCCAGCTAGCTAGCTAGCTAGCTCGGATGGACAGGAAATGCATTCTTTTACCTAGCCCTGCAGCGTTCGTGCGCCCCCGGGAAGAACTCCCTCTGACATGTCCTGACATGTACGGGCCGAGAAGGGAAGGGCGGAATTGGGGGATAAAGGGGTGACACACACATGGATGAAAGTATGCCACAACATGAACAAGACAACCCTTGCGAGGACGTACAAACCTCCATTTGACAGCATTTATTCTTTGAACCCCGCGGTACCTGTTACAAGGGGCCTCTCTCTTGCCCCCCCTGAGACTGTATTTCCCTGAACCCGCCACTGCTCTAAGTGACCTACAAACATCATGGTGCCTGCTTAGTCTCCTCCTCTCCAGCCCCTGATGGCGGCGACTCCGTCTTGCCCGAGTCATCCGCACTTTGCCGGCTCTCCGGCTCAGCAGTCGAGTTCCTAGCCGAGACCGTCGTCTCCGATCCTCCGTCCGCCGCCGCCTGCTTCTCCGGCGGCGGTGACGCGACGGCGCTCTTGATTTCCTTGGCGTTAATGAAGCTCTTCAAGTACTCGCCCGCGTCTCCGAACCCGTCGAGCTTGCCCAGCTTCGTGATGAAGAAATCCACGTCACGGAGCATGCTATCAATGTCATCATCAGCAATCGTCTTTGCCTGAAGGCAGGAGAGCGCAAAACGTACCTATCGCGGCCGATGGCCGTCTTCGGATCTGCCACCTCAAAAACCCTACCAAACTGGTCCTTGTAGCTTGAGAATACAGGTCTCATGATGAGTTGTACCGAGGTCTCGGGTAGGTGCTTGGTCAACACACGGTGCAGGGTCGTGGTTTCCTTGGCCAACGTCTCCATGTACGGATGGGTCGACTGGCTTCCGTCATGGTCCCAGTCAATTGCTCTCATGGACTTCGAATGCTGTGCCGCGCGACCGCTCATGATCTCGACCAACTTGTCGTATATACTGTTCTGATGCTCTTGGAATAGGCGCCTAACCTTGTCGAATTCTCCCATCAGACTAGAAACACTGGCTCCAGAGCCTGCATGCCGCCGCACAAACTCCCGAATGTGGGGTATCAATGTCGCGATGAACGACAGAGCCTGGGACGCCAATGCTAAATGCCTGGTTGTGATGTTTTTGAGACCGGCAGATCGAGTAGCACCTGCACCGAGAATGAGCTGGGTACAGCGGGAGTTGAAGAGCTGCAGATAGCCAATGAGGGAACTGGCGACGTCGGTTGCCATGGACGGAATACTGCCGATGAGATGCATGAAGTGCGAGATGCCTTCAAGACCAAGTATGGCAGAATTGGGGAGCAAGAAAGTTTCGCTTTCAATCTCCGCGACGCGCGCCTTTTCTTTACCACTGGTTCCGTTCGTCTCGGGAGGCGGTGCTGCGCTTCCATTCGACACATCATCCGGATTCTCTTCCCAGATCTTCGTCCCTTCCGACCACACCGCAGCATCCTTGGTACTGCTTTCGAGTACCTGATCAAGTAGAGCTTTGTTCTTTTCATCGAAATCTTTGGCGCTCCATTGGTCAGATTCCATGCCTTGGGCAAGCTTCTGCTTCTCTGCGTCGCCATGCTGCTGCACAAATTCCTTGATATGGCCATTGACCAACGTCTTGAGTGCCGTACCACTACGTCCTGAGAGCGCTTCACATTCGTTGGCGAAGAAAAGGTTGAGAGTGAAGTAGCGAAGGAACCAAGATAGGCTAAGATGCGTACTCTGCTCCGATCGTACTTTCAACACCCTGACAATCTTATCCTGCGCAACATCGACGGCCTGTCCCACCAAGTTGGCAATGTCCATTGCCTTGTGAATCTCTTCCTGGACTTCGAAACTCGGAGATTCGTCGAATCGGGGAAACTCACGGTCGAAAGGCGTGGGACTCGCGAGCGGGGAGCGGATCGGTGGCGATTTCAGGCCAGCTGCTGTGGCTTCCTCTGTCAGGCAACTTGCAATGTCGAGAAGAACCTTGACCTGGGTAGTCAATCGCCGGAGGGTTTCGGTAACGCCAATGTAGATCGAATTAAGCAAGTCCTCTGCATCTTTGGGGTCCAGTGCTCTCAGGTTCCTTGACAAAATGGACGACTTTTCCTGATTTGATAGGTGTTTTCCGCCGCTCATGGTCGAGGCGGACATCATTGACTCGTTATCATCGTCGTTGGAGCTAGGTAGCGGTCTCCTGATGAGATTTTTGATCTCACGTAGAACAATCTCCCGATAAGCAGCGATTGCAGCGGATATATGGTGAGCTCTGTGCAGACCATGAAGATTGGGCATGATTGCTTTGCGTAGTTCTTGTGTAGAGGCAAGATAGGCTGGTGGGCCGGCAGACTCTCTTGAGGCGCCCCCCCTTGCCCGCAGTGATGAGCTGCCCCAACGAAGAAGGACTTCCCGGCTTTGAACCGATTCAACGTGCCTCCGTAAATCAGCTAGTAACAAGCTCTGGAACTTGGTCTCGTAGGCTTTTCCAATTCGAGACCGGAGCTGTTGCAGGTCGTCATTGACACTTTGCAGAGCTGTCGCTGCCCTCAGATCCCTCATCCGTGCCAGTGGTAGTACTGGGGGTTCAGCCTCGGGCGAATCATCGTGCTCACCAGCGATCAGAAGCTCGAGAGTGTCAATATTACTCAAAGCCTTGTCAACCTCGCCAGCATCTACCAGCGCCTCGCATGATGCAACACCCTCAACGATATGTTTCAGTTGGAGAACCGCATCATTGAGAGCCTGCACATTTTCTCTCCGCCGGCGCTTCTGAACGATGTTCAGGCCTTTGGTGGCGATCTCCTCGTCCAGAGCTTCAAGTTCCTTACGAAGCGCCTTGATCCGATCGACCGACTCCGAGGCTTCCGAATGGAGCTCCCGCAATGAGCCAAGAGCCGTAAAAAATGTCGTCGACGCTGTCGAGATAGAGTTGATCAAATGAATCTCTATTGTATCCATGTACCAGGAAAGTTTCTCTTGTAGGATAGCGTTGGTGGCCAAGGCTTTTCGCGGTGCTACTATGTTGCCATTGCCATCGTTTTTGCTGTCTACGCTCCCCGGTGCAGGCGGAACGACCTCTGACCTTTCACTGACTACATCGAAAGTCCTTGGGTTCTCCAAATGAAAGTCATCGTCAAAGTATACGTTGGGTATCGTCGATAGCGGAGGCGGACCATGCGCGCCCTTTCTGCTATAGCCTGAACTGGATCGTCGCAAAAGACCTGGGCCTTCGAGGGAGGAGATGGACGTTATTGATGCGATGGAAGATTTCCGCCTCGAGGGCTGCCGACCTGCGGGCTTGAGATGACTCTCATCGACGGAGTCTCCAAACTCGTCGTGTTTGCTCGATCGACGGCCTGAAGAGCCAGGCCTGTCATCGTCTTGTTCCTTGACTCGCCGAAGCTGTTCGTACAGGGCGCCAACTTGCGACAAGTACGGCTTGAACTCAGCCGGGTCGATATGAGGAATGTTCGTCAAAGTGACGGGAGGGATATCGCGAGCGGTAGGAGGTTTATGCGCGCTGGACGCAGGAGCAGAGGTATGAGGCTGCAGGCCCGTCCGAACGATGGGCGGTTGCAGTAAGGTCGATATGGCTGGGGACTTGTCAGCACGCTCAGTGGCATCTCCAACTCATCAGTAATACCGTTTTGGCCAGATTCCAACACCGCATTTGCCCAGGTACTGGATGAAGTATCGAGAGACCCCCCTATCGAGTGTATGGAGCTCGCATTCGAGCCTCGTCTCGTGGTATGGTAAGTGTGTGCCTGTCCTTGTCTTGCTGCTGTTAGCGCAACCGTGGCCACCGAGGGGCCGGGCAAAGTGACCAACTTGTGGAACGGGAACTCGGTGCGCGTGGCCGGAGGAGACATGGACGAGATCGTGTCCATGGACTTGCGGGCGCCTGGAGAGGAATACATGGTGTGAGGCAATGGCTATGAACACGAGCTGCTCAACGCTGAGTCTGGACCTCGATCGTTTGCTGAGAGTCGCAGGGAAAGCCGACAAATAGATAGGTCGACGGCCACGTAGCCTGGCTACCGGGGTATCATTGCTGGGAGGTTCTCATCGAATAGGGAAGTTCAAGAAAGAAGGCTAGCAATAATTATCACTGATCAAGGACAAGACTGAAGAAACGACAGATTACAGTTGGTCTTTGCGCATGCTTCACCATGCTGAGCCACGTTCCTGAGAGGTAGCGTACACTCAAGGGCCCCCCTAAGGTACCCGCATAATAGGTACTAGTGCTGTCTGGGGAATGCTGCTGATACATCACGTGGGGATAAGATAAGGTCGAAGGTTATCTGCAAGCATCGGTACGTACCTGAGGAGCCCCAGGGATCACGACAACGCGCTAATAAACCACTTTACGCGTCCAGTAAAGGGGGCGCGTTCAGTCGAATTTGGTTCCCCTGCGCAACCCAGAGCCCCTCCTTCCATCCACATTTGAAGTCTCAATCCTCAGCATCGCTTCGTGAACAACCACAACTCAGCACCAAGCGCAATCATGGACAGGCAATCAGTCTACTCGTCACACGTCTTTCCGGCGACGTTCGACCAGAACGATGACAGCAGGGTTCAGACCCAGACCCAACTAGAGAACTTCATCCTCCACTTCAGACACGACAATGACTACATCTACAGGTCAGCCAACTGCTCCAGGGGTACCTTTTGGCCTCGTCGCATTACTTACACTTTTGTACAGAAACCAACTCAAGGAGAATGCGCTTCTCAAGAAGCACTACTGCGATGTTGACATCAGCGACCTCATCAACTACAATGAGGAGCTTGCGCATAGGCTCGTGACAGAGCCCGCCGAAATCATTCCTTTGGTAGACCTCCATTGTGCGACCCAAGCTCTAGCACTATACTGACCTGGCCGTAAACAGTTCGAGGCTGCCCTCAAAAAGTGCACCCACCGCATCGTATACCCTCAATTGACGAAGGTCGACCTCCCGGAACACCAACTCCTCCTCCACTCCAACGCCGAGGATGTGTCGATCCGCAACCTAGACTCTATGACAATCTCGCGCCTCGTTCGAGTGCCGGGCATTGTCATTGGCGCCTCTGTCATGTCTTCCAAAGCCACGTCGCTGTCTATTCAATGCCGTAATTGCGCCCACACCGCGAATCTGCCTGTCCTAGGAGGATTCACTGGCGTCACCCTCCCGAGGCAGTGCGGCAGACAGAGAATACCCAACGACCCCACACCAAAATGCCCTCTCGATCCATACTTTGTGTCACACGAGAAGTCGAAGTTCGTCGACCAGCAAATCATCAAACTACAAGAGGCTCCGGATCAGGTTCCTGTCGGTGAACTCCCGAGACATGTCCTGATATCAGCAGATCGTTACTTGACCAACCGCGTCGTTCCCGGTTCGAGATGTACCGTCATGGGCATCTTTTCAATCTACCAGAACAAGGCAACCAAAAACTCAAACACAGGTGGCGCGGTCGCTATCCGTACGCCGTACCTCCGGGCTGTAGGCATCCAGACAGACATGGACCAGACCGCACGAGGCCAGGCTCTCTTCTCTGACGAGGAAGAGCAGGAGTTCCTCGAGATGAGCAGGCGGCCCGACCTGTACAACATCATGGCAGACTGCATAGCGCCATCTATCTATGGCAACGTAGATATCAAGAAGGCCATTCTGTGTCTGCTTCTTGGCGGCTCGAAGAAGATCTTACCCGACGGCATGAAGCTTCGTGGAGACATCAACGTTCTGCTGCTTGGTGACCCTGGTACCGCCAAGTCACAGCTCTTGAAGTTTGTGGAGAAGTGTGCGCCAATTGCCATCTACACATCCGGAAAGGGCTCTTCAGCAGCCGGTCTCACAGCCTCGGTGCAGCGTGATTCCTCAACTCGCGAGTTCTATCTAGAGGGAGGTGCCATGGTCCTGGCCGATGGGGGCGTTGTGTGTATCGATGAGTTCGACAAGATGCGGGACGAAGACCGTGTGGCTATCCACGAGGCCATGGAGCAGCAGACTATCTCGATCGCAAAGGCGGGTATCACGACAATTCTCAACGCAAGGACATCAGTCCTTGCTGCGGCCAACCCGATTTTCGGTCGATACGATGATATGAAGACTCCTGGCGAGAACATTGATTTCCAGACTACTATCTTGTCACGATTTGACATGATCTTCATCGTCAAGGATGAACACACCAGAGAAAAGGACGAGAGGATAGCAAAGCACGTCATGGGCATCCACATGGGTGGCCGAGGTGTCGAAGAACAGGTTGAGTCTGAGATCCCAGTCGAAAAGATGAAGAGATACCTCAGCTACTGCAAATCGTAAGTGTTACCCATCGTCTTGCCTACTGAAAAATTGCTAACAATAAACTCTAGACGCATGGCTCCTCGTCTCAGCCCCGAGGCCGCTGAGAAGCTCTCTTCCCATTTTGTTTCCATCCGCAGACAAGTCCACGCGGCTGAGATGGAAGCCAACACAAGGTCTTCCATCCCTATCACCGTTCGTCAACTTGAGGCTATTGTTCGTATCACCGAATCATTGGCCAAGTTGACGCTGTCTCCTATTGCAACAGAGGAGCACGTAGACGAGGCCATCAGACTCTTCCTGTGCTCCACGATGGATGCCGTCAACCAGGGCAGCAACCAGGGAAGCAAGGAGCTCAACGAGGAAGTCAGCAGATTAGAGACGGAACTCAAGCGTCGTCTTGCTGTTGGATGGGGTACAAGTCTCGCAAGTCTGAGACGCGAGATGGTCGAACAGAAGGGGTACAGCGAGCAGGCTCTTAACAGGACGCTGATGATCATGCAGAGGAGGGATACAATCATGTTCCGGAACCAGGGTGCGCAGGTGTACAGGAATGCAATTTGAGGTTGGCTATGGTTCAAGGACTCCTATCAATACTCCGCGCCACTGCGGTAGATGGTTTTGAGGGATACGGCGGCAGCATTCTGCATATGAAAGAAATGATAATACCAAACACTTTGTAACGGGATATGAATTTTAGTCTTGAAATGCCACTTTTTCTGAGGAACAAACGCAATTGCGTTACCAGGGTGTGATGTAATCATTCAATTGCCTACTAATATCTCATAGCCTGAGTCTGTCCCCAAGCCGGCCAACTTTGTGGCAGTTAAGAAGAACATCTTCGATGGGCTATTCAGTATCAGAGTATGTTATTCTCCAATGCCTCGGCAGAGTGCTCGTGTTGGAACACTGTGTGGACCTGAGTGACGGGGAAAACTGTTAGCCGCATGAGCTGGAAGATTCCGCGCGCTTCCAAATAGTTGTGATAACAGAGCGATTCAGATATGCCAGTTTTCCGCAGGCCCAACCCGGTCGAGTGCATTGGCCAAAGCCGCCGCGCTCGCGGCTGAGCAGTCGGTTTACCAGATGCATGGGTGTCATCCGCATCTCCAAAGGGGTTATGTTTACTTGGGCATGATGCTCTATAGACTGCGTACCTTTGACGTCGAGAAAGTTATGTATGCGTACAACGTTGCTATTCATGCCTGTGCCGTGACTCCTAAGGTACTTGAATCCCTATCAAGAGCGGGCGACAGATGGCAGGGTAACCAACATCACGTCACATATCAGGTATGTAGCAGAGTGAGAGAAAGAGCGCCTCAATAGGAGGGCATGTCCAAACTTGCATCAGGTGATCGTCGCATCATGGGAAGCCGCACGAGGGGCCCTCGCTGACGATTGTTTTTAACAAGGGCATTGAAAGAGTTCATCTTGACTCATCCTCAGGTCTCGTCCAGCAGCGTAGAATGTGATGTGAAATCGTTGCAAGCTGGCGATTATTTGATTAAGGTGGTCTTAGGTTTATGGAGAGAAGAAAAAGAATGAGAGGCTGCTCGCGGCCGCGAGGTTTAAAAATTGCAAAGCCTGCCTGGCCCGATCCGCGGTGTGGGGCTGATACAGCACCACGTGACTTCGACGCTGTTGTGGTGTTGTGGCTTGGGTGTGGTTACCTGGAGGCTTACGTACACACTGTGGGAATGTTACTTCTGGGCACCTTGGTCTGCTTATGTAAGATTTGTGCCAGGCTGGTCAGTTCCGCTGCCTGCCGGCTGCCTGATCCGGCCACGCCCCTCCCATCTCGAGGTGGCAGGGTGCGTGCGTGCCAGCGTGGTGAACCTCAACTCCTAAGAGTCCAGCCGTCAGGGCCCGGTGATCGGGTGTCGGGTGTCGGAGCACGGTGGCCATGGTTTCCTGGACGATTCACTGGTGGAGGGGGCCTTGCTTTTGGCTCCGGTCCCAGAAACAGCAGACTCCCATTCTCACCCCCCCTGGTGTGTCAGGCTCACCCCCTCCACTCTCCCACCCTTCTCTCCCACTCCCGCGGCAAACTGCCATTTGCTCATCTCACTTCCTCTTCCGCCGCCGTCGGGACTCACGTAGGTAGTGTGTTCACACCCTCCCCCCTCCCCCATCTTCCCTCCCTCCCGCCCTCTGAACCTAACCAGCCCAGGCTTACCTCACCCACCTTACCTTTCCGTAACGGTAGTGGTACCTAACCCGCCAGCGTCTCTTGCCAGTGCCAGCCAGCGCAACCCACGGCCCAGCCAGTCCCAGCACCGTACCAGCCCAGGCGGCCACCCCCGTTAAGCGAGCAAATTGCCTCGCTCATGTGTCCGCCCCCTTCACTCTACGCTGCGCCATTCAGACTTCACTTCTCCCAACTCCACCACGACCTGACGGCTTGACCACGGCACAAATCGACCACCGACCCTCGACAGCACTCTATCGCCGTCGGATTACTTTCGCTACGAGTGTATCTGCTGGATATTGTCATCAGGAAAATTTTTAACCCCCACGACAAGGCGCCGACGATCCACGAGGAAGCCGAGAGTGGTGCATGACGCTGCATCGGGGGATTGAGAGCCGTCGGCGGTTTGGCGCGACTCGCCACAACAACCCCCTCATCCTCTAATCTCGCCCAGAGCGAACCTTCCTATCGAGCGCATCGTGGAATCCGGTTGAAAGGGATCTCGAAAGGCTTTATCGGGAAAAGAAAGTGATTTTTCTTTCTTCGCGCCTTCCGATTTAGAGACGTCGTGACAGCAGCCGCCAATCCTTGGTCCATTCCGACTTCCTCACCCTCACCGACCCACGGCAATCACAACCACGACGCCCACGGCGACGAAGAGACGACTCGAACTTTCTGCCATTGGCGAAGTCAACATGTCGTTCCATCCTCGAACCCCTCAAAGCCCTTCTCAGTTTTCTCCGGCAACTTCCGATCTCACGTCGAGTATGAACAGCTCGGCCCCGTCTACAGCCACAACTCTGCCGACACCCGCCCACAGCGTCAACGGCAGCGCATCGCAGCCCTCCGATATGTCGCAGGACATCGCCATGGGCGATGACTCGCCCCATAAACGCAAGCGCCCACTCGAGGATTTGGGTGATCGAGATCAGAAGAAAGCCCACATCGAGGATAGCAAAACTGGTATCGAGGCACTCCACCTGGATGTCGGAGAGAAATACCTACTTTGCCAAACTCGTAAGGCTCCCTTCAAAGTCCCCTGTTTCCGTGGCAGGCTGTCTCTGTCTTGCCATCTTCCCTCCCCTACGGCTATCTAGTATTTTGAGCCGGTGCAATGTCGGACATAGTTGGTTAACACTGAGCTAAATAGCGCACCACGAGAGACTGCCGCGTATCACGGAAGACCTCTTCGAGATGTTCAATCTCTCGGGTATCGCCGCAGAAGTCGCTCGCGAAAAGCCCAACGGTGAGAAGAACGCTCTACGGAAGACGTATAAGGGTCAAATCAAGAAACTCGGAATTCTCGGCCGCTTCGACTCCGTCGCCCAGGACTGGGATGCTCCGAGAGAAAAGGACGGCGAGAGCGGTGACAAGAAGAGAGAGGTCTACCACGGCTTCAGAGAATTGCTGGAGATTCCCGATGCCGAGTATTGGGGCACGCGGAACGACCCTATAACCAGTGGTCTGTCTGCTACTGTCAAGTCGATGCTCAACCGAGCAACGACTATGGCCAAGGGTCCACTTCCCGTCAAGGATTGGGACAGCTCAGTTCTCGGAGACCTGACCCCGGGCAGCATGGAAGCCTTGAGACAGGGTCTCGGTGGCAAGGTGACAGCCCCAGGTACGCCTTCCGCAACCACACCCAACCCCTTTGCGCGAAAGCAGCAACAGGGACCTCAAGGGGCTGTTCGTCCTCAACGGACGACCAAGAAGCGCGGCTACGGCGATAACAGCTTCGAGGGATATGGCGAAGGCTTCCCTGATGACGGCTACTCTACAGGAGATGGCGATGATAGGGGAGGCCAGAAGCGTCGTAAGAAGGTGCGTAATGTTGTATTCAAACAAGGCTTAACTGATCTAACTCCCCACGATAGGATAACGGCAACGGCCAGACATTCCCCAACACGATGCGTCCGCAAGGCTACGGATCAAGCGCCGTGGGTGCTTAGAAGCCACCTCCGGCGACTAAGGTCGGCAACCGCCGAAACGCTCGCAAAAAGGGCTAAGCCCGAACCATGCCTTTATTTCATTTCCACGACTGGCCATCGTGTTGGATATCGCGGGTCTACAAGCACGTTGCTTCTGGCACCAAACTTTTGGGTTGCGAATCAGATTTATGCCCGTTGAATGACCACGAGGCAGCGCCGCAGGAAGATTGAGGGCTAGCGGTTGACGACGACGCAACATGCGCGCGTCAAAAGAGTTACCGCTTCGAGGGTTACGGGGGGCAAAGACGGCGGTTGGACGAGGGCATATCTGCCCCTTTTGATGAATTTTTCCACTTCCAGCAGGGCGTTCAGGGGGATCAACTTACTTCCTTGTTACCATTTTACTCTTGTTTTTGCTTTTTTTCGTTGTTTTTTAACGCATTCAGTCGAGGTTTGGCAAACGAGAAAAAAAACATGACCGACTGAAAGAAGGGACGGGGGAAAAAATACCACGCGGCTTCACAATGGGGAGGGGAGGGAGGTCATTTCTAAAGGCTGCTACGAAAGGGGACGGGAATCATTTTACCACGAACCACGACCAACACAAACCACAAAAAACCAACCATCACACACCACTATCATCATCACCACCACCGGACACTTTCAAGAAAAAAAAATCGATTTCTTCCCTTTCCCAATCCCACACACAAAGAAAGGCAAAGGGGGTGGGGGGACTTCAAAGGCTGGGTCGTTGTAGCACTATCACAAACAAAACACAACAAGTAATTCCAATAGAAGGCGTGAAGAAGGCCTCTACACACAAACACACAAACACACTAGATATTGTATGACATCGTGATTCGCCTATGCTTTCTTATTCGTCAGGGTTGTTAACCTCGAATCGTTGAGTGACTGTATGTTCACGTCGCGGGCAAGATTACTCAAGTAAAAAGTTTCTCGTCCAGTATCAACTTTACTGGGGTAGACTACCCGCCTTCTAGACATGGACAGTCCTGCTGCCTCATCTTGCCCCATCTTCCCAGGTCCACGTACCCCATATTACAACTTCAACGATACAGCAGTTCGTCCAATACCCTCCCCACGATGAAACGGTATCAAGGCATCTCCAGTATCGCCCTGACGCTCAAGTCATCCTGCACCCACGCGACGATGCGCTCCCCGACGTCGCCGATGAGCGTGTCGTAGTGCGGGCCTGGAAGAAAGAGGCCGCAGTGGGCGCCGACCTCATCCATGCCCTCCATGTACACCGATACCCACGTCTCGTCGCGCTTGCCGTTCTTCTTGCTGGGTAGGGTGCAGAATTTCCGCTCCTTTTTGGGTTTGTCCGATTTGGCGTTGGATTTGGCATTAGCTTTGGCGTGGGAGTGGGAGTTGGAGCTGGAGTGTGCGGCGACGGCCTTGGGGCGGCTCGGGATCGTCGTGTTGTTGGTAGCGGCTCCCGTCTGCGTCGTGTTGACTGATGCCGTGGACGAAGATGGTGCGGCGACAGCGGGCGGCCGATCCTTGACCGCGGCCGCGGCGCCGGCAATGACAGTCGCCGCCATTTCGGCCTCAACCTCCGCAGACTTCTTCTTCGTCTTCTCATCGTCATCCTCGGCGTCACTATCAAGCGGCTCCCCGCGTAACCTCCTACCCTCCCTCTCCATCCTCTTCGCCTCCTCCGCCAGCCTCCTTGCCTCCTTCTGATCGTGCGTCTCTTCAGCCGCCTCTTTTCGAGCTGCCTCTTCTTCCTGTTGCCGCCGTTTCTGTTCTTCCTTTTGCAACTTCAGGGTTTCCTTCTCGATCCTCTGCGCTTCCTTGGCAGCTTCCTTTTCCACCTTTTTGCGGCGCTTCTCGACAAGCTTCTGGCGCTCCTTGATGGCCTTATCGCGGCTCTTGACAGCGGACTCATACGCCTTTTGTGCGCGCTTGCCTTCCTTTTCGGCTTGCTTCCGGGCGTCCTTGTCCGTGTACCTATCTAGATCCGGAGGCGTCGGCTGTTCGGGGAGGTCGGGGATGGGTGGTAATTCTGCTTCGGGTATCACGTCTCCCATGGGTGACGCTGCCCCGGCCTCGAGACTCTTCTCCGTCTCGTCGGCGGCCGTGGTTGAAGAAGTTGAGGCAGGCACGCTTTCTTCGATTTGGGCGTCGGCATTGGGTGTCTCATGTGAGTCAACATCGCCTTCCTTCTCCTTACCCTTTGGTTCGCGTATTTCCTTGTCGAGCGCATCGGTCGAGTGCGAGCCTGCCTTTGAATCGTGGTCAAACCCTGCCTGCTGTTCCTCGTGGAGCGTCGAAAGCCGCTCGTCAATGTCATCCATCGGGATCGGCTCGAGCAGTTCCATTTCCTGCCCATCATCAGACGACAGAGAGATCCTAGGAGTCGACGAAGACGGCGGAGAAAGATGAGAGCCGACCTGTAACGTACTCGGGGCCGCGCGATGCTCGGGAGACGTTGGTGACTCGGCGGGGGACTTTGGCGAGTCTGGCGTCTTTGGCTTCTTGGGTCTGCCCGAGCTGAGTGTGTAATAGTTGATGAAGCGGACCCGGACCGGAGTCGGCCGGTCGACGTTGTTGCCGTAGCTGTTGCCGTCGCCCATGTGCTGCAGCGGGTCAACGCTCTCCATGGCGCGGAGCTTGTTGTATCGGGCGTTCAGGCCGGGATAATCCGCCAAGCAGCCGCCGTACTCGAGATGCGACATGACGTGGTTCTTGGTAGCGTCCCAGATGCCCTCGCGGCTGTGCTTCTTTGCAAAGTGACCCAGTCGCCTCATGAAGGTACGATCTTTGAGGTTCACATCGTTGAAGAAGGATGGGTTAAATGTAGGATCCGGTCGCTGCGGCGGTGCATTGCTCGAGGACATGGAAGGCGTGTTGCTCGGGTGTGGCGAGAGGTCTGCACCCAGTGAGCTCGTCGTCTCCAGGGTGTACATGGACGGGTTGGGACTGGTCAGGGCCGAGTTGGTAGGGCTCAGCTGGTTGAGGGCATCTTGCTCTGGCTTCTCCTCCGTTGGGGAGGCTGGCCTGAATAAGCTGGAGATGCCGGCGACAATGATGCCGGGGTGAAGCCCAAGGAACGGCGAATCCAGTGAGATGGTGCCGAGGATGCGATGCTTGTACGGGTGGCGCCTATATGGGTGCCGGTTAGGCTGGAGAACATGTCAGTCAAGTTATTCATTGCTCTGGAGGGTGTACTTGAAAGTCCTACCATCATGGCAACCTCGGCCGCGAGCAATCCTCCCATTGAGTGTCCGACGAGGATGACATCAGTCGAGTCGGACTCGTGCGGCTCCAGCCACTGGCTAAAATTGTCGCGAGCCACATCGATGGCCTTGTACGTCTTATAGCGTGGGTAAATTTTGGAGTGGACGACGTGCGTCTCGGCGAGAGCCTCCTTGAGGTGATTGTGAACGTGTGCGGGGAACGAGCGAAAGGACGACTCGTTACCGTAGAAGCCGTGGATGTAGATGACGAGGAGGGTCCGGCGGATGACGCCGTCGCGGTCCTTTGTGGATGGGGCAAGCGAGTGAGCCGACGAGGACCTAGGATCGGCGAGGCGCCACTTGGAATCCACGATGCCGAGACCGTCGGCGGCGGAGGAGGAGGAAGGGTAGCCCGAAGACGGACCGGCGACGGCGGCGGTAGGTGGGGGCGGGAACTGTGTCGAGGACGTGGAGCCAAAGTGACCGGAGCCGGAGGCGGATGCGGTCACGGAGTAGGGCGGCGGTGGTGCGGACGAAGACGAGGGTCCGTCGTAGGCGTAACCGGACATGACGTCAGGTTTTGGGCAGAGCCCAGACAGGTGTGTATGATGTGGAGGTTCAAGATATGCTGTACTTTATCTGTACTACAGTGTATGTAGACAAGAGTGAAAGAGGAGGGGGAGGGGGTGCGGGGGGGCGTAAAGCTTGGGGAGGGGTAAGAGGAAGGAAGGGCGCCCACGAGGAAGAATGCTTTAGGAGGGATGAGAGCTTCCAGGTGTGACCGTTTGTGTAGGTGTTTTGCGATACGGAAATGGAAGAAGGAAGGATGGAGTCGGATGTCCAGATATAACACGGAGCGCCCAAGACCCGTCACGGCCAACGGGCATTGATGGGAAGAAGAAGGAGGAGGAGGAGACTGTGGGCTATTTCATTTGGCATTTGCCTTGGTTGAGGTGCTTGCTGCAAGATGCAAGAGTCTGGCCCAGGCGCACGCGTTTTGGTCCGGATGAGTTCCAAGGTAAGGTACTGTAGCTTTGCCGTGCCGTGGTAGGTCGAGGTCAGGTACTTACCCCAAGGTCGGTAGAGAAGCAGAAGTAGAGGTAGGGATGCAGCTGTGGGATACCTAACTGTTGGAGAGTGGAGGTACGAAGTACCCGAGTGGTGTGCCCCCGTACAGAATACGCGGGAAAAGTGAAGCTCGGGTACTTGGTCTCTCCTACCTTAGCTCATCCGTACCTGGCCTGACCTTATTAATACGGACACCTTTTGGTGAGAAACCTCATTGCGCCGCTGCTGCGCCCGGTTTTCCAGGTGGACAGGTATCATTACCCCAACTACACTACCTTATTTCCTTGAGGTAATACAAAGCCAAGTACCCGACGGCAAGAAGGCATCTCAATCACCTCCCGTCGGAGACCTAGAGTCTCTAGAGGAAAGAAAAGAGTACCGATAGTCTAGCCACCACAGCCACTATGCGCTTGCCTGTATCAGACCACCAGCCCCAGACGGGCATTGGCCTAGGTGACTTGCTCCCGCCACCCATAGGCGGGTAAAGATGCCGGAGCCACGTCTGGCAGCCACTTCCAACCAAAGCTGGCATTCATGGCAAGTAGGAATGACGACATGCTGCAACCTCGAAACAAAGCAGTCGTAACCTCCTTGGCGAACCACTTCCCACTTCCTCGCGTTGCGCGTTACGTCCTCGGGTTTTCGGATCCGATACGGCACAGTTTTCGCGCGGTTCGCGGTGTAGTCGTCGATGGCATACACACTCTTACATGCAGTACAACCATTTACTTACACCCATTGTCGGGCCCGAGTCAGCCACGCTCGAAAACTCGCAAGTTCGCAGCCAGACGTGAATCGTGGCATCCAAGTTGGCCATCTGGGGCGCAGGGCCCAAAATGAGCCAAGTCGGAAGTTTATGGCCGCGCCTAAATGCCTACTTACCCATCTCCTACCTCAGAACTCCATACGGAGTACGCATGCTCAAACTTCAGGGCGGTGGTGGAAGAAAGGCCATCAGGGGGCTATGCGAGACAGACTTCCGGCTCGCTGGTAAGTTTATCGCTTCCCTCTTCACCTCAAGAGCCTCATCCAGTCTTCAAATCGTCTCCATCGGGCATTACAACAGTGTCCGAGAAAACCAAGCAAGAATCTGCAATTGACAGGTACGCCAAGCCGGTCGTCGACTCGTCCAGAAATTCGAGTGATGCTGAAGCAAATCATACCGTTTCCACTGGTACATGACACCAAAACAAGACCATCCTGGCAACTTTGTCTTTCCAAGTTTCCTCAATACAACACTGCGCGAACTCTATCTGTGCTTTAATGAGCTTGGCTGGTTCAGTTGTTGAATGCGCAGAAGTTTAATACTCGGCAGGTGTGCTGTGCAGCAACCAAACAAATCAGTCATCATCAAAATTGAGCCTTGCATTTGTGCAGGTTTTGTAGTGTAGACCACCAACTCTTTTGCCAATCAGCATCCTTCACGGCGCAGACCGTCAATTTTGATTTCGATATCCCGTATGCCTGTCAAGTTGCCAACATTCCTTGGAGATGGCCCCTCTTTAAATCAAGTTGGCTGAGAGAAAAATCCCCCGTTCTCTCGGATGAACGTCCCATCGTCCTGTTGCGGTCATTTTCCTCGATTCGGGGGCCGAGGGTAGGGCAGGGGGCCGGCAGGGCATCGCCATGGGTGATGGATCATCTGGGAGATTACACAGATTAGATTAGAGACTCCATCATCGCTCTTCTCCGTTGCAAGTTGCAGCCGTCACCCACTCCAAGAAAAAAGTTTGTTGGAAAGCCTCGAGTGGGTTCACTGTTCATCAAAGGGTTTGTTGTTGTCTGTCTCTGGTTGATCTGCCACGCTGCCAGGTACGATCCTCCACAGGAGAACAAAAAATCGAAACGGCGCCCGGTAGTTGAGAGGCATGGTTCCGCGGCGCCAATTCCCTCATCTTCAGGTGGACGTTCGTCCGTCGGGACGACGGGGTCCAAGGTTTCCAGAAGGATGGGGCCTAGAACGAGACAACAAGAGAGAACAGACAGACGGCCGACGACGGGTGTCTGTCCTCAGACATCGTGTGTTCTGGCCCACGGCCACGGCCACTTGTACGCTAAGCTGATCGCAGTTTCGTGGAATTCAGTGCGGCTCCTTTTAGAGTAGAAGTGAAGAATTCGATGCGAGTTATAGAAAGATAGCTGGCCGTCGTCTCGGGAACGCGCCCAGGAGACAACCCACCGGGATGGTAGTGAACGTGCTCTCCAACGGATAGACTCTTGTTGTCTGGCGCACTTTTTCCCTCTGTTCCTGTGGTACGGAGTACGGATACGGATACTGTGGTTTAGTCTACCCCCGTTTGCGCTGCACAACATCTGCTCTGCACAGCAGTCTTAGCCAAACCATCGACTGCACCCCAAGGCTCTCGACGACCTTTGACAAGCCAAGAGGTGCAAGCCTTTCTCACATTGAACTCCACTTTACGCCCGTTGGGGAGGGGGTCGGTTCAAGGGAGGATTACGTACAGCCGTGGAGACCATGTCATTCCAGTGCCGTGCTTGGTCTTGGATGACGCTGTGGTTCGAATGATAATCTTTCTTTGGTGCAAATGCCAAAAACGTAGTACGAATACTGGAAGACCCCTCGCTGCCATATCGCAAGGGGAAGTAAACACTTTCGACGGTCCCAGAATTCGGGGAGCCTCCTGAGACGCGCTAAATTGTCTCATACAATCATTCAACCTGCCAAACGATACCTATATGATAACGCATAAGTTATGACCTCCAAACGGGGAGGAAGCCGAACACCTAAACTCTGGGTAATTTGTACCTGGGGCGCCAGTAAAAAGACTCCATTGTCAGTGAGGCAGTGAAGAGCAGGTTCCGTCACGCCGAGAGATATAACGGGGCAAGGGAAAGGGGCATCAGCAGAGACGGGGGTTCCAGGTTACCCCAGTGTTTGTTTCGATGGAAACGAAATTCGTCCCATGATCGCCGAGCCTCGCCAAGCTTCCAACACGGAGAGACAGAGGCGACAGAGCAGGCTTGAGGCTTGCCGTGCACTAGGAGAGAAAACCAGATCGAAGCCCCCTCCCATCTCAACGGCATAAGGGTGCTCGACGTTTGGTAGCCACCCGCTTCTAGAACCCATCGTCGTAGAATTATCCGTAGACATCTCTGTACGCAGTAATCAAAGTCGAAGGAGTCTGACAACTGTCTTCCCCCGGTTGATTCGGCATACGGGAGTCAATTGTTTCCCGGTAGCTCTGTCTCTCGAGTCTTTTGCAACCTCGCCAGGCTTACCTTGCTGGGTTTGAGGGGAATCCCGGGCTACGTCGCATGCACAACAGCCAATATTCATTTCGTGTAGGTGCTAATGCGGGTATGTACTCTGCCATTGTTTCTCTGCGCTGGCTGTTCGCTTGGTTTCTTGCCCTGGAAGCCTGCCCTCCCCTCGCCTATAACACCTTTTGATATTATGCGTTTGGAGGATGGAGAGGGGCTAATCCGTCCCGTCCGTCTCATCCACACGTTTCGTTTGGTTCTTCGCCCGGGGCGCCGGCCATGGCAGCGAAAGCGTGAACAGCCCCACGAACTCCATGAAGGGCCCCCAAGAAATGGAGCCCAGGCCAGGGGTCCAGATGCAGATGCAGGTACCGCGCACTGTATGCCGTATCCGTACGGCCACAAGAAGAAACAACAACATCATTTGCGGCTTATGGAAGACTCAATTCAGAGGCGATCGTGAACGAGGGAAAGCGAGTATTTGCCTGGTTTCGTAAACTTTGGCTCCTTCGTGGTGAATACGAGGTGGGGGATGTCTGCGGTACGAGGTGAGGGAAAGGCAGAGAACGCCACGAAGCTGCCCCCAACAGAGCCGCTCAACGGATCTCGATTGGTACTGATAGCGACTGGTTTGGCTTCCGGTCAGAAGGCGCGAATAAGTTGGCACAGCCCAAGAGGGAGTGAAGAGCAATGGCCAGGCAGGTAGGCGGCTCGCAGATGATATGGCGAGACTGGAGATTTCAATGGTGGTTACACGGGTTGATTTTGGCGCATGCCACCTCGATATGTGTGCATGGACAAACTTTTTGGTCGCATTCTCGAATCGAATTTTTTGCATGTATTTTCCTTTTCTTAATTTCTTTTCTCCCATTCTCCAATATGGTTGGCTCGTCATGCGTCGTCTACCGATGATGGACTTGAAGGGTCGCGAACTTTTCGCTGCAAGCTGTGACAAGTGTTGACTATTAAAATGCTGGCATCAGTTCAGCGGTAGCCGTAGCTGAGCGACGAAGACGACAAAAACGAAAAGTTCAAGTATCAGTGGAGTCGCTAGTGCTGGCTTATGTCGTCGTCAGTTGTCCCATTTATTTTCGAGATATTTTTATTCCATTGGATTCCGAATCTCCAAAATGCAGATGCAGAGCCGTTGACCCTCCTCAGGCATCAGTTTGGGGAAGGAGGCCGATCCTTCATGGACCTCTGGCCTCTAGCGTCAAGATGCCTCGTCATTGTTGGTATCCGTAGGTATCCGTAGGCACGTTATTAGTGTCGTAAGATA